GCAGCCAAGACACAGCCTTGCAGAGTCACCGCCTCCCTGTGCACAAACCTTGGGCCCAGCCAGGAAGCTGTGGGAGCCACCGAGGGCTTGGTTGAGCATTTCTCGTGAGAACCCCGACGGAAGTTTCAGAACATAGTGCCACCTGCTCATTCGACCCATGCGGTGACTTTAAATTCTGTGCATGTTTAGCGTGTCTGTTTTCTTTTATCTGGATGTGATTCCGCCCTGTCAACTCATTTAAAAATAAAGAGAAATATATTCAGATCTAGTGTTTTAATGGATTTTTAATCATGAAATGTTAATGTTAGCCCTTCCCTGGCTATGGTGGGGCAGGGGAGATATGGGTTTGGACCTGCAGGTGCTTCCAGCAGTGGAGATCAAAAAATTAATTTAATCGACCAAATGGTGATTAGGGCATCTGGGGACATGGCATTTGGGAAATGTTCCCGGGCACCGCAGAATGTGGCTGTGGACCCAAAGAATGGGACAAATGTAACCGAGTGTATGACCAGGCAAATCTAGACCAAGTCCCCTGCATCCTCTTTTGGTCTCTGGTATTGCTTCTTCCTATTTAGCAAAACGCATCTTTCACCTCTGAGCAGAGGCAAGGTTACTGGAGAGGAGATGAGGCATTTCAGAGATTCTCAGCTGCAAACTCTCCAGAGGTAAAGGCTCTGGACACCAGAGCCTAAGTGCTGGTGGGGAGAAATGTTCGGCACAGTAGATGGCAGGGACAGAAGCACAGCAGGACACTGCCAGCAGGACAGGGCGCTCTTTGGGGATCAGTGGCTGCCTGTGTGCATGTGAACTCACACTTGTGCCAAGCGCACGGTAAGTATTACTTACATGGGAGGTATTCTAATTTTGTTCTAATTTTAATTCTAATTCTGTTAAGGACGCCAGTATTTTCTACAGGAGGTATCCTTGCTCCATGCATATCCCATCTCAGGAGGTTGGAGGCTGAGCCATGGATTTTAAGAGCTGCGTGGTCATGTGTGCTAGAGCGTAAGACAAGGAAAGCAAGAGGAGTCACAAGAGCTATTTTTCTATTGTGTTACGGAGCTCCTCACCAAGAGGAAGGACCTCTCTGACAGCGGCAAGCCAGCCAGCCTCCTCTCTGCAGCCTTGAAAATTGCCCCCTGCGTTAGAGGATGCTGACATGTGTCCCCAACGCGGTCTCCACGTACTGTGTCGGGAAATGCAATAAAAACACAATCTACCCCAACCCAGAAAACCTTTCTGCGGGGTAGAAGAGAAAGAAAACAGTTTAATTATTGAATAAGCATTAAACTAGAAGGTGATGGGCATCATGGGAAATTCCCTAAAAATTACAAAAAAAGGAAAGAAATTTCAGCTGTTTTTGCAGGCAAGCACATACAGCCCATTGCACTCATGTTCTCCAGATAAACAAAGCAGCCAGTCCTCAGCAAAGAGGGCTTGGCAGCACCGCTTCTCACAGACAGTTCATGCCAGATTCACTTGGTGATTTGGGTGGTCATGCGTGTTAACTAATTGGCTTTACTCAAAGGGAAGATAATCCTCTCCCATTTTTATGAAAAGAGGTAGTTTTGCAACTTGTAGGGAAGCACCCCCTTAAGTTAAGTTAGGTGTCTAAACTAGGCTCCTGCCTAAACTCAATTAGGTTCCTAAGTTAGGCTCCTACCTACCTACACTAAGTTCAGTTCCCACATCAGGCTCCTACCTACCTACATTAAGTTAGGTTTCTAATTAGGCTCCTTCTCCCCCACAGAACCTGGGAGATGGGGTGGGGGAAGGGGGAGGGGTGGTGCTATCTTCCTTGATGGTTACATTTCAAAGAGATTCCCAGGTCCTTGGGAAAGACATCCCTGGGGCTAAAAGCTGGCAAGAGGTTTATTTAACTTTTAAAGACATTTACATACCTTTCGATGAGATTAAAGAAAGAATTGACAAGACTTCTAAAGTAAATGCTTTTAGATAAGGGAAGGGGAAAGTCTCTTCTGTTACTTTCAACAGGGAGAATTAAGTCTCTTATTTTTAAAGTGCATCTGCCCTTACAGTAGTAGTAGATGTAGTTGGTATTTCAAAGCCTCCTGACCCAGCCACTTCATCAGTGGGTAGGTCTGGAGAAAACATCTGTGGGGATGAGAGAAACAGCTGCAAAAAGCTGGGGCAATGGTGGTCCAGGGAGTTTTGCTGTGGGGTTTCCCTGACAGGTCAGCCCTGATGCAAGAGCGCTATCCATCTTGCCTGAGGAACAGCACACAGGCAGAGTCCCCAAGATTTAAAGCAAAGAGCAGGGCACGGGGGCAGTATAATGTGGCATGCACTCCCTTCTCTCCCTGAACCCTGAGGCTGGCAGCCCCAGGCAAGGCCAGAGTTCCCAGCAGCTGGGAGTAAGACAGGCCCCTGAGGCTACCTAGCCAGCAGAAGGGGTTGCCAAGCAGTCAACCTTTGCTGAATTTGGCCTAAGGGGCAAGGTGTTTTGTCAACAATAAAGAATTCTGGGCATCCTTAGGAATATGAAAGGCTCAAGCCCTGGGCAAGGGTGGACTTCCTGGGGATTCTGGTATGTTAGGGCCGGAATTAGTACAACTTGGATATTCAGGAACTTGTGACTTTCCTTTATAACAACAGTGTATGTGAATGTGAGCTCTGTGAATGTCTGATAACATGTATATGAAGTAGGTTGCTAAGTATGAAATGTCCAATTTCCTTGAGTACTAAGTTTGACAGTTGATATCTGACATTTCACTTTGACATTTCTTGTTTTATTTTTATTGTGAAGGCACATCCTCATTCTTTCAAATGCATGGTTTGGTTTGTAATTATCTTTCAAAAAATTTTTAGAGCAATTTTTGTGAAACCATGAAAAAATCAGTAATTTGTGTTATTTTCGAATATGAGTTCCATCGTGGAACCAATGCAGTGCAGACAGCTCGAAATATCAATGAAGTGTTTTGGGAAAGATGTGGCTGATGAATGCACAGTACGTCGACGGTCTGAGAAGCTCCATTCTGGTGATTTTAATCTTGAAAATGAGCCACGTGGGTGACCAGAGACCAAGGTAGACAATGATGAGCTGAAAGCTGTAGTGGAAGCGAATCCATCTCAACCTATGCGTGAATTAGCAGCAAGGTTTGACATAACTATTCCAAAAGTATTGGCCAATTTGAAACAAATTTGCAAGGTAAAGAAGTTGAATAAATGGGTACCACACAAACTAAACAAGAGTCAGAAGAGATATTGTCTCGAAGCTTGCCTTTCTTTGCTGTTGCGACATAATGGCAAACCATTTCTACACCGTATTGTTATATGTGATGAAAATGGATTCTTTTTGACAATTGAAAGCGTTCAGCACAATGATTGGATAAAGATGAAGTGCCGAAACATAGTCCAAAACCATCCTTACATGTGTGTCTCTGGTGTCTCTTTATAAAGGTCCTAATCCCTTATGCCCTCAGGACATGACTACCTCCTAAAAGCCCTACCTTCTAATACCATGGTATTGGTGCTTAGAATTTCAACATATGAATTTAGGGAGAACAAAAACATTCAGATAACAGCAGTTATCTTTCTTTTGGAATCCCTGGTGCCCCTATGGCTTTAGTTACTCTGCTATTGATTTATCAAATGAAAATGTGAACAAGATTATCTCCATGCAAGGAAGGAGTCAGGCAAGATCAGAACTTAAAATGATTTCCACCAGCTCATTTTCTCACTGCTGTCTTGGGCCCACCACTCATCTTATTCATGCCCCAGCCCAAAATAGGTCTAGTCCTCCCAGAAGATTCTCGTGGCTTTTGGTTGGTGTCTGGTATTCATATTTCTTTCTTGCCTTATGAGGCGGACCTGGGGAAGGAGGCAGGAGATATCGCTAGTTTGCAATCTTAGAGGAGTCAGATCCAAGCTCTCTGGTGTCTCTTCTTAGAAGGGCACTAATTATTGAATCAGAGCTCTACTCTTACGACTTCATTTAACCTTAATAACCTCCACAAAGGCCTTAGTTACAAATATGGTCACGTTGGGGACTGAATTTTGGGGGAGGAAGGATATAAACATTCAGTTCCTATCAAAAGCAAAATCTTGGCTATTGCCCAGTTGGCCGCATGGGGGCACTGTGGAAGCGCTGAGCCGCAAGTGTCTGGGGAGTCTCGGTGCTGGCTGGGACCTGGAGGGTTAAGGAGCAGCCTCGTTTGATGCTTTTATCCACTAGAAGGTATGATAACGTAGGCACGAATTTGCAGGTGTACTGCCCCACCAGGAAGCCATGAACTTCAGTTCTGCAGTGGTTAGGGTGTCTCTGTGAGCTTGCAAGGGAGAATGAAGGGTCGATGCTGTGATGGGACAACCTGCATGCCCTGGACAGGGACAGACAGAGGAACAGCCACCCTAAAGGAAAAGCAAAAGGACTGTGTGTGGAATGGACATGTGACCTAACTCTCGCCCAACATGGAGCAGCCCAGTCTAGTCCCACATGCTATGTGAGAAGATTTGCAGGACAAAGCAGGCGTCTTGGGTCAGCTGAGCCAGGGACCTGGGAAGGGAGGCAGGGTGCATGGGAACCTACAGACACTGGGACACCAGAGCAGCAACACTGCAGCCAGGAGTCCAATAAGAGAAGGCAGCCCAGAAATCCAGCCTTCAGTGGACCAGAACCCTGAGCAGGGTGAGACTTGCCCAGCTCTCTGCCACCCTGCCCTGGGCTCCGGGCAACCCTGATGCACAGGCTCTGTCTCCTGGGAGAGAGGCGAGCTCTTGATAGAGGTGGGACATTTCTAGGCCATACGTGATTCAAGGCACCACTGGGTTCCCTCCTGTGTTTGTTCCCCTGCTTCTGGCTCCTTCCCTCACAGGCACAGTGGATTTTTCTCTGCAAACAGGGAAGCACTGGACCTCAGGAAGCCTGCAGGGGGTGACCCAAGCCTGTGACATCACAGGATACTCCTCCAATCAGGAAAAGCGAGCCCAGACTCAGCTCTTCCCCAGGAGGCCCACGCCCTGAGCACAGAGCACAGTGCTGCCTGCCCCGCTGTGCCATGGACTCCAGGCTCCTCCACTGGGCGATGCTTTGTCTCCTGGGGGCAGGTGAGCCCTGCGGACAGGACAGCTTCTCCATTCTGAGCTTGCCCACCCCTGCATCCTGCGCCTGACCTTGGGAGGCACCACCAGGCTGTCTCCTGTGCTCAGTCTCCATCTGCTTTTCCCACAGGCCTAGCAGAGGCTGGAGTCACCCAAACTCCAAGACACCTGATCAAAGCAAGAGGACAGCAAGTGACACTGAGGTGTTCCCCTGTCTCTGGGCATGCCAGTGTGTACTGGTACCAACAGGCCCTGGGTCAGGGCCCCCAGTTCCTCATTCAGTATTATGACGGGGAAGAGGGAGAAAAAGGAAACTTTCCTGCCCGATTCTCAGGTCACCAGTTCAGTGACTATCGCTCTGAGCTGAACATGAGTGCCTTGGAGCTGGGGGACTCGGCCCTGTATCTCTGTGACAGCAGCTTCCACAGCCCTGCAGAGCCACCAGCGGTCTGTGCACAAACCTCCCTGCCCCAGCCTGGAGCAACCTCACACCTGATGTATCTGTGAGAACCTGCGGACCGCAGGGGCAGAGGGGATGAAAACCGGTGTTAGGGTGCTGGAAAGTGCTGTGAAGTGCATCTTGGGGCTTTTCTGTCACTCAGGGCTGGGGAAACAAGGCCAAGAGCATCTGTTCAGAGGACGGTGGGTGCTGCTTTAGCAGGTTCACGCCGAAATTGTCATCTTTGCCTAACCCTGTGTACTAGAGGGGTAGAAGAAGACTTTGTAATTTAAGAGTTTGCACCCCCTTTCCCAGGGCAGACGATTTCATTTTGGGGTCAGGTTTATTGATAACAGCGTATTGTAGAAGGTAGAATCAGAGGGGTTCGTTTTACATAATTGAGGGAGACGAAATTGAAATTGGGGAAAATTGAGGAGAAAGAACAGGATCAGAGATGATTGAAGAGAGAGAGAGCTGTAGGTGGTTCAAGGCAATGTTCTGAGCAGCGTGAGCCTCTTCTCCCATCCCCACATCTTCGACAACTAGAAAGTATAGAGCCAGGCCTTCTAGCAAGTGGCATCACCTGGTGGCTGGTCCCAGTTGGGGCTATCGCCCAACAGCCAGTTGCCTGGTGTGAGAGCTCTGGGCCGGGTTCTGACATCTTCCTTCTGAAATTCTGGTCCCAGTCTTGACTCCTCAGGGTACAGTCAGGTACTTTCCACAGCACTGAGGAGCTCATGTCACCCTTGGTCATGAATGGGCAAATCTCTTCGGTTTCCCCCAAAACAAAGGGATCCATGGGATCCCTTTCTGACACTCGTTCCCCCCAGATCCAATTACCTTCTGTGACCAAAGAGCTCTTGAATAATTCCTAAAATTCAGCAGCCTTTTACATTGTCTGAATGTGTGCTCACTGTTTCCACGGGCTAGAGGGCCCTCCTTCACCCCAGACAGGGGCGGACACTGCTCACCTGTCAAGGATGGGCTCACATCTGCCTTCCTCTTCCATATAACTTCTGCCATATTCTGAGCAAACGTGTTTTCCCGGTCAGGACTGATGGCCAGCACTGGAAAGTATGCTACTTGTATCTAAAGTTGGAGTTTGCCAACATTGTTTTGGAACAGAGGCAATTATGTTATAGCAATATTTACCCAGTTTTCTAATACGGCAAGAAAAATTCCTCACCACAACCACACTTCCACAACCACAGCTTTAGAGATTTGGCGAGGCTGGAAACATCAGCTATGGTGCTTTTTGGAAATCAACCAAAAAAAGAAAAAAAAGGAAAAAAATAAGCTGTGCTTGGGAGTAGAATCTTATCATCCTTGACAATTAAAAGATGTCGTGTGTGTGTGTGATGTGAGCGTGTTTGTGTGTGCATGTGTGCTTTCTTGTGGAGACGCCCCAGTGGAAAGTTTCTCTCCGGGGGGCATTTACTAAGAGGCTCTGGGTCACAGGCAGGGTTCACAGGCACTTCCAGGTAGTAGTAGGAATGTCGGATCGCACTGAGTCTGCCTAAGTTATAGCTGATAGGGTTGTTTATTTCTAGATGTTATAAATTCAGAAATAAATTTGTAAAATCTAAAAATCCTCTTTATGAACACACTATCTAAAATTTGGTAATAATTTAAATACAACATATGAAAAGATGTGGGTCTGATTTACCAGGAGGAGCTGTGGAATGTGGTGTTTCCAGGCTGGATCTGTTTGACGTAGACACAGTTTAATTCCATGGCCATACAATTCTGACCCCTCTCTTCCATTTTAGCAGAGTGATTGCAAATGTATAACAATTGTTTGTTTTGTAATCCAAATGTTGGTTCATGCCTCCTTTTGCCTCCACTGGCTAAGGGCGGATATGAAGATCAGCTCTAAATCCGCCCTTCTGAGAAAGCAGTAGAGAGGGTGGGGGTTGAGGGGTGGGGGTCTGGGCATCTCTGTTCCTGACTTGGACAATCTTGAGCACATCAGACCAGGTGTGTAACCCTGAGACTGTGCACCGCTGGCCACTTGGAGGCGCTGTGGCTCCTCAATGCTGCAGGGAACCTGGGAGGGCCGGGAGAGTGGCCCAGGGCAGGAGGGCTGCAGGGACTGCCTGGCCGAGTGCTTGCATCAGGGGGTGGTTGGAGTTCAGAGTGAGTCCTGAGATAAACACAGAGTCCTCACTGCCCAGGGAAGGGTAGGGAAGCTACAGGCCTCAGTATACACCAAGGGGGAGTTTTTCTGCACCTGCCTGGGCAGTGGAGGGTGAAGGGGCTGAGGTGGCCATGGCTGGGGAGTCAGTGTCAGGGCAGGACAGGGCTGCAGAGGAAGATAAGGTGTGATGTGGGCATGTGGGGACCGTGCTCAAGTCCCTTTAGTTTAGAGCTGTGCGACACAGCAAAGGTGTATGGAGTAGCAGGGCCTGGGGCCCACCCAGGGGAAGGGGGCACTGCCAGAGGGTGGCCTGCAGGGAGAGTGAGTGGGAAAGGCCAGCTTCCAGAGGAAATGCCAGAAACATTCCTGCCCCTACTCAGGAAATGACATGGGTTGCTGCTGCCAGCCAGAGGGGCTCGGGCCCTGGTGAGCGGGCAGGCCTTTCCCAGACACTCTGCTGCTTCTGTATGCGATCTGTTCCAATGCTCACAGAAACCATGCATGGTAGGTATTATTTTACCGGGTTGTATAACTGAGGGAAGCCGTTGTCCCAGGTCTCTTGTTCAATAACTGGCTGAAGTCTGTTCGTCCAACACTTCTCACTTCTCCCTCCCTGCCGGGCCCCAATAGATCTGTCTCCTCACCTGGCTTCCCCTTTCCAGGTCCCCATTCGCAGGATAGGAGGTCATGCATCATATGTGCTCATTATAACCTCTTCCCTGACAGTTCCAAGGAACATACAACTTCTAGGTATTCAATCTTCACTGTGATGAAAAAGATAGACACAGTTTTCTGCACTTAGACTTCCCAGAACTGATGCAACCAGCCTCAAGGGAAAGGAACACAAATAATCGTTAGCCATTAGTTAATCTATTTTATACTTTCATTCAATGAACTTTTTTGGGCCTCTTTGTACAAGATATTGTATGACTTAAAAAGGAAACTTAAAAAAATGAGAAAAACTTTTAAAATTGAAAAAAATGTGTTTCTTGCTTTTTGGAGTGTTAAGATTGACATTTTTTTTTACTTATTCCAAGTAGTTTACTCAATTTCTGAACTGTACACTTTTTCTTTTTTTTCTTTTTCTCTTTTTCTCTTTGTCTGCCTACCCCCTTTTGCCAGCATTTTGTTGTTGTTGTTTTTAATTGTGGTTACATTTAACATGAGATTTATCCTTTTAACAGACTGCTAAGTGTACAATACAGCATCATAATCTATGGGCACAGTGCTGTTAGCAGATCTTTAGATCTTATTCATTTTGCTTAACTGAAATTTTAAAACTGTTGACAGCAACTCCCCATTTCCCCTACTCCCCAGCCCTTGGAAAACATCATTCCAGTCTTTGCTTCCATGACTTTGACTATTTGGGTTATCTCAGATGAACAGAATCATGCAGTACTGGTCTTTCTGTGCCTGGCTTATTCACTCAACATAATGTCTTCCACGTTCATCTGTGTTGCTGTGTGTGGCAGGATTTCCTTCTTTGTTTAAGCCTTAATAACATTCCGTTGTATGCATATACCACGTTTAAGGTCTGTAGTATTAAATGTATAATATTTGACTGTTTCTATGAAACCATGTGGTACATGAGTGACAGGGTCATTTGCAGAACTGCAAGCACTGAGTACATTAATGCACATTCACAGTTCAGTTCTGTTCCACAGAGAAGACTCAGAAAAAAGATAATAATTCCACCAATTTTGTCATTTTGCTGTATACCAAACAGAAGTCCTTCATCTGAAAAATTTCAGTTAACTAAAAATTCAACTATCAGAAAAAAACCTTAAGATGCCAATGCTATTCTCATTTTACAGATGAGGGAATTGACCCATAGGTTAAACAACATGAAGAAATTAAATAGCTATTAGGATGTGGTACTGGGACTCCAACCCTGGTCTGTCTGTCTCTAAGTCCCGTGTTTACAACTCTGTGCTATAATGCCTTTCATAAAGAAAGACAACAGTCTTCGAAAATCAGAATATTGTCCCCTACATCCCTTCCAGACCAGCGGGCCCTAACAACAGAGATTAGTGGAGCAAGGAAAGACCCTGACGAGGCACCACGACACCCAGCCCAGATTCCATCCTAACAACAACTGGTCAAGACCTGAGGCCAGTTCTTGACAAGTCAGGCTTAGTTTTGGGTTTTTTAAAAAATATGTCAAATGAGACACACTGTTTGTCTTATAGGGTTGTATACAAAATTTAATAAGCATAAAGTACTTAGCAAAGAGTAGAAATCAAGACATTTTGATTTCCTTTGCTAATCTCAGCTTCTTCCACCATGCCCGATGCACAACAGCAGATATGGGTGGTTTTTCCTAGAATCTTAGGTGGAGACTCAGAAGTCACAGAAATTAAAACATATAGTATGTCTGACAATTTCTTTGATGAAATTAATAGGATGTAGCAAAAAAAAAAAAATGGGATGTAGCATGCATCCCTCACAAGCCACTTTAAAATCAACTTTACTGATATATGAATTATGTTAAATAAATATTACACATTTTAAACGGACAGGTCAGTGATTTTTGAGCAATATATATGTGTATGCCTATGGAACCCACACCTCTGTTAAGCTGTAGAACATTTCCACCACTAGGAAAGTTCCTTCAGCCCCTTTTCAATGCCTCCCTCCACCCCTGACAACAGTGGTATGACTTCTATCACTATAGAGTAGTTGGGGTCAGAAATCTATTCACCGGAATTCTAAAACCTCTGCTGAT